GTAGTGACTTAATTATAGGTGACCAGGAATGTACACTGAGCTTGTTGGCTTGGATTCAGATAACTAGCCCCAAGTATCAGGGTTACATTGGAATTAGCCCTTTTTAGCCTTCTCACTCCCTCTTCCCCCTCTTGTCTCACAAGCTTCTCTTAGCCTTGTGGTACAATGGCTATGGTATGTTATGGTGAACATGGAGGACCACCACTCTTAACTGCTTCCAGCTGAAATGGAATGGTGACAAAAGGGTTAGCATCCCATGAGGGGTTTGTAAGGAATTCTGAAGTTTAAAGGCATTCCTGTCCAGTTTGCAGGCAGGCAGCGGTAAGCAGTGGTCCCACACACATAGAATGTTCCTGCAGGAAGGCACCAGATGTAGGTTGTGTTTTCATCCTTGAGAATAGAGTTGCATAGCTCATCTGAGAGGTGACCTTTTGGATGTTGGGCCTGGGTACTGCTGAAACAAATAGGAGCACTATTAATTAGCTGCACATTGGCCCTGGCAGGTCCTATAATTTTTTCCATCCAATACAATCCCCTCATTACCCCCTCACCCTGGCCCCACGTGCATTTGGTAGTGGAGTCATAATATGCCATAGGATGATAAGTATAGCTAACAAAAATCTGGCTAGATGGGGCTTTCCTGTAGGCTATCCAGTCTAGCATATTTGGGTAGTGAGTTTCTAAGGAAGGACACTTGGCAGTGGTCCCTACTGGAGGCAAGCATGTGCTAGCTAATATTATTAGTGGGAGCATGTTATTCCCTCTATTTCTTTTCAGTAGGGGTCCACAATAGTGAACTGCTAGAATAAAGAGCAGTATTAAGGCTATTCCTGCAAGGCAGATGTAGCCAATGATAACATGACAAGATGTAGTCCAGCAATTCTTGATGAGGCCTTTGTTTCCTTGCTGTGTGGGAAGCAGTAATTTCATGGTGCTTCTGTGTCCCAGCAAGAACAGATGAGTTCTCCCCCTGGTACTAGCCTTGGGTTCTGGTGGCACTCATAAAAAGACAAAATGAGAATTATTAAAAAGATAAAACCAATGATTATTCAGAAATACCAGAACATGTTACCTTTAGGAGGAGATAAGAAAGAGAGATTAGTGTTAGGGCCAATTCAGCTGGGCGTTTCTGAACTCCTTGGAGCAGGTTGATTGGCCAGATCCGCTGTCTTCTTGAGAGTGATCCTCAGGGGGTGTTTCTGGTCAGAGCTCACCTTCCACTCAGGCTGGACATCACTCGGCTGGTGGGCTGCCTTCACCCGGGAGTGGTGGATCCAGGTATTCAGTCCTGCAACCTTGAGAACTGTGGGGGTGGTTAATATGACTGGATAGGGTCCCTTCCAGGTAGGTGTGAGGGGCTCCCTTTTCCAATCCTTTACCCAAACCTGGTCTCCAGGTTTATAAGGATGTACGGCTGTTCCTAGAGAGATGGGCAGTTGATCAGTAACCCATCATGTACCTCAAAGACAGTTTTCCTGAGTCCTTGTAGTTTTTTTTCTAGATTTCTAAGTTCCCTATTTCCGCCAAATCTCCCTTTGGCCGAATTAAGGGAGAGGGTCTACCATATAGAATTTCAAAGGGAGAGAAACCTACCCTGGCTGTTGGGGCACAGCGTACTCTCAGGAATACAAGAGGCAAGATATCTGTCCAGGGTAAGGTTGTCTCTTGGTATAGCTCAGCCATAGTCTGCTTTAGAGCCTGGTTTATGCTTTTTACTTTTCCTGAACTCTGAGGCCTGAAGGTTCTTTGTAGATTCCATTTAATTCCTAAAGCCTTAGCTACCTGTTGTACTATTTCTGCTACAAAGGCTGGGCCATTATCAGACCCTATGGTCAGAGGCACTCCATACTGTGGAATTATATCCTTCAGCAATGCCTTAGTGACTTCTCTCGCCTTTTCAGTGTGAGTGGGATATGCCTCGACCCAGCCTGAAAAGGTGCAAACAAAAACTAGCAGGTATTTATTCCCTCTGCTAGATCCTATTTCTGTAAAATCTACTTCTAAGTCCTCAAAAGGAGCTTGCCCACAGCGCTGAACTCCTATCAGTCCCACAGGATCCTGTTTGGCATAATTCTGTGCACAGAGGAGGCAATGCTGAGAGACTGAGTCACACAAGGAGGGAAGGCGGGCAACTAGGTAGTATCTTCCTAACAAAGTTTCTAGTGCAGTCTTCCCTAAATGAATGAGATCATGCTGCTGGAGGACTATGTTCTGGGACATAGACCCTGTGATCTGGGAGTATCCACCAGCCTTCCTTCATTCTCTTGCCCCCTTCTTGCTGAGCCCATTCCTCTTCATGAGGAGTGTACTTTGGAGGTTCAGGTAATTTGGGGGCCAACACGATCTATAAAGATGCCACTTGTTCTTTAGCTTGGCTGCGGCGTCAGTATGTTTGTTTCCTTCTGATACTGAGTCTTTCCCTTCCTGGCGACCTTTGCAATGGATGACGGCTATTTCCTTGGGCTCCCAGACTGCTTCTAGTAGCTTTAAAATCTCATTCTGATTTTTTTATTCCTTTTCCTCTGGCCCTCAAGAGCCCCCTTTCCTTATACTGTATATGGCCCCATGGATATGCAGGGTTATAACAGCCTCATTAACAGCCTGTAGATCCTGCACTGGGAGGTAGTCATTAGTCCCAGGCTTTTTGACAGGCAAGAATGGCGTGTTCCACGGATAACTGCATCATTTAACAAGTCCCCACTGAAGCAGCAGGTCTAAGTGGCAGATTTTGACAGGCTGTGCCCCAGGCTTTAAGTCAATCAGCACCGGGGCGTGGTCCTTAGCCAGATCTGGAGAATTCTTTCCGCCCAGACCATCGGGAATTCTTTCTCTAATTCAGGTTCTAATGGTGAGGACTTTGACTGGGGGGTATAAAGTTTCCATTCTTTCTCCCTTTGCACTGCTAGGGACAGGATTATTGGGGAGGTCTCCTTACTTAGGTGAAGCTGTGCTGAGCCATCTGGAACAAAAATGATTTCTGCCCCCATTTTGGCTAAAAGTCTCTACCTGTAAGAGGCACTGGACGTCAGTCTGGCAAATACAGGAATTCATGAATTATTTGATGACCACCAAGTTAGCATCGGCGAGGGTGGCAAAACGGCCTATAGTCTGGTCCCCAGTAGCTCCAATAATGGTGACCTCCTCTCCTGAGAGTGGCGCTATTTTCTGTGTGACTACTGAGTGCTCAGCTCCTGTATCAACCATAAAGTCCACTATCTGGCCCCCAATTTTCATTCCGACCATGGGCTCGTGGGGGCCTAGCTGAAAAGAATCTGGTCTGTCTTAGTGGGAATCAGCCATCGTTAGCCCAATGGAATCTGCTTCAGGTGGTTCTGGTTGATAGCAACTGGGTGGAAAAGGGGGTCAAGTTTTCTTACTTTGTCTTTTGGGACATTCATTCTTCCAGTGTCCTATCTCCTTACAATAGGCTTACTGGTCTCATCTCAGGCTTGTTCTTTCCTTTCCCCCTGATCCTTATTCTTGATTCCCTTTCTGATCTGTCTGGAAGCTTGAGTCTCTAAAAGTCACAGCTACTTATATTGGCCCTTCTTTGTATTCTCTTTTCTTCCTCCCTCCTTGCCACACTGTCTCAGTTGATGAAAACCTTGCTGGCTATCTCCAGCAGTTCGGTGGCATTTTTTTTCTGCAAATGCTTCCAGCTTCTGTAATTTTCTCCTAATATCAGGCGGGGCTTGGCCTACAAAAGCAGCATTCACCATGGTATGATTTTCCAGGGCCTCAGGGTTAAAGGAAGTGTAGATCCGGTATGCCTCTGATAGCCTCTCACAGAAAGTTGCTGGACTTTCGTCAGGCTTCTGGAAAACCTCAGAGATTTTAGCCATGTTGGTGGGCTTCTTAGCTCTGGCCCTGACCCCTGGAGGTAGGCCAGCCAATGTCTTTCTAGCCTGGCCCTTCTGTCTTCTGGGGTTCCTCATCTGGGAAAGCCTCCCTGGCCCATCTGTTTGTATATAATATTCCTGTTGGAGCCTGGGTCTAGAGCCACTGCTGAGCCTCTGATACTACTCTCATGAGGTCCTCAGTGTTAAAGAATGTGAAAAGGAGCTGTTTGCACTCCACCCACGTAGGCTTTTGGGTCTGGAAAATCGTTACTAGGAGATCTACCATGGTCTGAAGTTTTTCAGAATAAGCTGGGGTGGGATGTTTCCAATTCAGGATGTCACTGGTGGTAAAGGGCTGATAATAATAGACTGGCCTTCCCTCCTGCAAGATCCCGCCTTCACCAAGCACTTGGGCACCCCGAATCTTTCTGAGAGGCATCTGACGTGCTGGTTGTGGCTTGGGCTCTTGATCGGCTGAACACAGCGCTGCCCAACTGGCTCTGGGAGAGCCTGGTTGAGGAGAGATGAAGGGGGCTGGAGTTTCCAGACTTTCCAGACCTTCCAGACCCATGGGGAGTGGGGCGAGGGGGGGCATTTGGTGCTGCCTGTGGCACATATGGAGGTGGTAAAACTGGCGGGACTTCCTCAGGGAGTCCTGGTAGAACAGGGGATTGGGTTCTCTTCTGAGAGACCTGTTTCTTTCCTCCTAACTGCTTCTCTTTTGCTTTCTCCTCTCTTGCTTGCTTTTCCTTAGCCTGCTCCTGCCCTGCCTGCCTCTTCACTTTTGCTATTAAAACTTTACTCTATCCTTGTTACACAAGCAGATCCAGAATCAATGCGGCAAGGTTTGAGCAATTTCTAACCAGCTGCCTATGTAGGGAAACTGATCTGAGTGTCTAGGGTCTTTTGTGACTACATTCCAGACTGCCTCGGCCAGCCCCTAATCTAAAGAGCCTCCTAAGGGCCAGGTGACCCAGAAGGCTAGACCATTCTGACTCACAGAATTTCCTCAGTGTTTTGGGGTTCATTTTAATACTATAGTCTCCATTGAAATATTTTTCAAAAATTTTCAACATGCAATTGAGAATGATGGGTTTATTTTGTCTCAACCCCATGATGATCGGTGGCAAGAGCCAGACAAGAGAGCAGGTGCCTTGTTTTCACAGATCCTCACTCAGGTGCCTGCCTGGCCATGTCCTTTGGGAGCTTAGATTTGTCTTAGCTAAGGTGCACCCATATAAACCCCGGGCCTGGTCACCTCCACGTGGGGGTGAGTCACTGTTATGCCATATGACAAATCACAAAACTGCAGGTTGGGGCCCACTTGGACTATGTAACCAAAGTCGTGGAGCCACACAAAGGATAAGAGAGGGCAGGCCCTCTCCCTTCACACTCACACTTTCACCAGACATTCACTCAGAGTTTAAAAAAACAGTCCACCTGACTCCTGATTCCTGACCAGTTTAACTGATGAAGTCCTATGACTTACCGGGAGGTGATCAAACACCCCCTTCCACTCATTTGGAGTGGGCCTGACTGAGTGGGGCCTCTACCTTACCTATTCTATGGACAGGTCCAGAAGTATCTGTCCACTCTCCAGATGCTGGCTGGGTCATAGGCTGAGGTCCAAGAGCACCAGGAGTCCCCTGGTTCAATTCTACTAAAATCAACTGGACATGCCTCCGGAGGCCTATCTTGCACCCCCAAAGCCCCAAGCCCTGTCCCCTAACCCGAGGCCAAAAAAGCCAAGCGTAGTTGGTTTCCCCATTAGGGAACCAGCTATTGCAGAAGACTAAAGAAAAACAAGGATGCTTCAAAGAGGAGGGACACTGTTTAATACACTGTCAGACTCAGGGAATAGCCTTTCAAATCTGAGTGAAGAAACATGCATGGGGATTTCCTTTATATTCCCCTATGGTCTTTGTCCCACAAATATGGATTATGCTTCCTGTCCTTGAAAGATGAGACAGAGGGCCGAAAACCAGGACTACAGGCTTTATTAGAGGAGCAGGACCCCCCGGGCAGCCTTACAAAGGAAGAGAGCACACGTGTAGGAGTGAAGATGCCTTTTGTGGGGAGGAATGGAAAGGGATGGGGCTTAGGGTCTTTGGCACCTGCTGATTGGTGGTTTCATATAAGGCACATGATTTAGGCACTAAGATACTTAGGAATTGGGGGCTTAGGGTATTTGGCAGGTGGTGATTGTTGTTTCAATATACAGTCCATGTAAGGTGCCTGATTAGGTGCTCAGAAATGTCCAGGCCGTAGGTGCAGTTTACGTCATACTCTGTTCATCAGATGGGGGAAGGGAGGATACTTTGTCCATCAGTTGGGGGAAGGGAGAATCTATCTGTCCTTTTCTCAGGCCTTGCAAGAGGCCCCCCAGGTGTTGAGGGTCTCCAGGCCATATCTGATGGTCTGGCCTGGGGCCAGCTTTAATAACCTTCCCTCCAGGGCAGTGCACTGTTCACAGTAACAGGTTCTGCAAGACCCAGTATCTGGGAAGGAGGTAGTGACTTAATTATAGGTGCTCAGGAATGTACACTGAGCTTGCTGGCTTGGATTCCAATCACTAGCCTCAAATATCAGGGTTACATTGGAATTAGCCCTTTTTAGCCTTCTCACCACCAGTGTCCTGTAACGTGGATAACTGCCCACAATTTGTTATTTTCATCCCAGGAATGGTGGAGAGTGAACCAGCCTGTCTCTGCAGGGCCTGACATAGTCTGAAGAAGCACTTCTGCAAGTTCTTGTCACTTGCAGTTTGACATTTCTGAGTTAGTGTGTCCTGTAAGCACGAATTTGGAAATTCCTTTAGGAAAGATTTACATTTCACAAAATTGTAGAATAGGTCTGATTACCATTTGTAGTCTCAGATTCAGATTTTATTTCTTATGAGCTACTTATTCAGCCCAGATCAGCAGCAGTTTCTATGAAGGGAATTGGTTTGCCAGGTTTAAACATAGCAAGTGGCTCTGGCACACCTGTTTAGGGATTTACTAATTTCACAAGTGAAGTAATTTGAGCAAATCACATGTGAAACCCTGTTTTTTTAACACCCATTAGTAGCAGGAGCCCTGACTGCCTCTGTCCCTACCCTCCGCAGCACCAGACCCAGCTGCTATTAGTAGATTCCACTAATGAGCTGCTGCATTTTTAAAAGTTCTTATGGTCAGCTTTTTATAAATTAGAGTGTTGCAATTCACTGTGATATCTACTGGAAACAGAAGATTGATTCAGTGTTGTATTCTTTTGTTCTGTTCAGACATGAATGTGGATGCCTAATTTCCCCATTACTAGCATTCCCAGAACCTTCCTTATCTCTGTGCCTGCTTAGTTCACTGGGTTAAGACTTGAAATCAGTGGGTCCTTCAGCTCCTCTAACCTTGCTTGATGGCACCCTCACACGGGACAGCTAGACATCAATGTAGATTATGGCAAACCTTTTCTGAAACACAATTTCAAGGTTTGCTCTCCTCCACATTGATTGAGACACCATCTTCCTTCATAAGTAACAGCATATTTCCTAGGCTTTAACCAAACAAAATTGGGTTTACAATTAAAGTACAGGCAGGATTTTGAGTTGGGCAACAAAAAAGATAGTTTTCTAAGTGGAAAAAAAATGAACTTGTAAACCCTTGGATCTTTCATTTCCATCAATATTCACCTTAAAAAAAGACAGGGAATTTTATCATTTGAAGCATATGGAATGTTCTTTATACAGACCTAAGAATTAAAAAGAGACAGTGTTTCCTCTCTAATTGCTGGAATAGCCAATGAAATAGAAGGAAGATTGACAGACAGCAGACCACCTTCCGATGGGGAATATGTTAAATGCTCCCACAATGACAGTGTTAGTTCCAGGGGCACAGAGTTAGTTCATTTAAATGATTCTTACTTTGTCTCTCTTGCTTTTGTTTTTCTTCCACAGTTTTTTTTTTTTTTTTTTTTTTTTTTTTTTTTTTTTTTGAGACCCAGTTTCCGACCTTACCAAGTATTTACAATTTCTTTCAAGTGAGATCAAATGAGATTGCACTTCCTGTTTCCTGGGGATTGGCTCCACCATTGAAAATTATGGGTGCCCAGCAAAAAGAATTGGGAAACTAAAGGGAGAGTTCTCCCTTCAGAAGGAAAAGCTGTATTTCAGTTGAAAACGAAAGACAATGCAGCTGTTTTGAGTAGCTTACATCTTTAGAAATGCTAATGAACGTGATTGAATTTCACTGAAACTGGGGCTGAACAGTTCAAGTCAAAAAGAAAAAGCAGTTTTGAGGAAGTAAGATCCTTGAGAGACAAAGACCTTATTTACAGTAACTTTATCCCAAGATCTCCATTTGTCTTGCTCCTAATTAAAAAAAAAGATGAAAAGCAAAAATATTCACCTAAACTTTTGGCTCTTGTTAGTTTTCTCTAATTGTCTTTCTTGGGAAAAGTATCATTATCAAATAGTAATAAGTTCAGAAAACTTGGTGCCAGATTTTGCTAACCCATCCTTTATTTAGTTAGACAGGGTATGTGAACTTAAGAAACAATATGAGGAGGCAAAAGGAAATCCTATCCCTGTTGAAGGACTGGCGATGATGCTAAGTTGAACCTTGAGATCAGTTGGAGCCATGTAACCACCTAGGGTTTCAGTTATTATGCTTCGTTATGAATGTTTTTTTTTTTTTTACATGGATTTTTAAGGATGACAATTAATTTATCCATCTAGGCAATAGTGCTATTTATTTATTTATTTATTTATTTATTTATTTATTTATTTATTTATTTTAGGGATTTGGAGGGAAGTCTTAGATGTCTATAAACGATAAATAGTCAGTTTTGGATTGATGCTTCCTACAGAGAAGCTGCTCATGGCTGGGTGGGAATGAAGTGTCGAAATAAAAGATGGCAGGGATGACAGAAAGCAGAGGGCTTGGTGGAAACATCTGACCTTAACGATATCATTGTAATTAGCTAGTTATTAGTAATAGGAAAGAAGCAAAGGGAAGGCCAGGCATGACAGGCTTGTTCCCTGTAAAACACTAGGGGAGGGATCCAACAAAGAGAAGATAGATGCCTGCCCAGTAAAGTTGGGATGACACAGGGAAGGTACTTGTTTGTTGATCACACCTGGGGACAGCCATGGTTGGCCAGAATGGGAGTGGCTATGACAAGGGAGTGGATATTGGGGATATATAATTTCCTGAACAAAGAAGTTTGTTCTCTTGGCATGCCTGGCTCATGGCTCACACTTGGATTCTTGATATTCTTCTGTGTGGCCCATGCCATGTGGACCCCCGCACACAATAGACTAATGGGCCACAACTAGCCTGATGCTGTACCTGCATCTGCTCCAACATGGAACAGAAACTCGACACTGGCTGAAAATCCTTGCAGTCTATAGATTCTGTGCTGTGATGAGGCCTAGTTATTTTATCAATGATTGTAATGTTTGAAGGGGTTCAAACAATCCCCCTAAGCTGTACTTCTTTGTTATGTGGGTTATTTTGAGCTGAAGATAATTGAGACCCTATGGCTCAAGAGAACTTTTGTCTTTACCTTACAGAGTTTATATTGTGGCCTTGCCAATAATAAAATTTATCACCAGAAACAACCTTTTGTGGCCTATCAATAGGGCAGGACACATTTATATTACTGAACATCTGCTCTTTTTATCATCCTACGAATGAGCTGCCACCCTATGAATCTCCAAGTTGTCTGACCTCATTCCTTAGCTCACAATGCCATGTACACCTCATATCACCACCCAGTCTCTGAACTGCTCATGTATGTGAGGCTACTAATTCTTTCATGTATGAAAGGTTTTCATAGCTTGTATGATAAAGAGGTAATATGCAAATGGTCATTACACTGTGACATGTAACAACCAAACAGCAGGAGGACGGAGGACAGAGAACTACAGGAGGGTGGGACAGCGAGCTACGTGCTGCAGAGAGATATGGGCTGAACTGCCCCCTGAGGCAAGTGGCAGAGAGTTACTTGAGCATGGTTTCCTGTGCTGGGCTACTAGTGAATGCATATAATTAATTTAGTTACTTTCCCTTAATAATCCCTTTCATGTTTATTTGAATATTAGAATAGCTGAAAAAAATCTAGAAGGGTAGAGGAAAATTTCTTCTTCCACCACATGGTGCAATTGGAGATGTATGCTTTACAGAGGCATGAGTGGCCTATCTGAGTGAGGTCGTACTTGGAGAATAAATTTAAAATTCCATATGCTCTTGCCAAAATGAAGACAATGGGGAACCAAAGAGGCCAAAATAAGTGGAAAAGGTAGAGCACCTGGGAAACAGATAGATGTAAGCACAGATTGCCTGTATCTGTGTGTGAATCTGTCTGGAAAGATCCACCAGGCAAAGGGGTATAGATTTAAAAAATCCAATAGAAAGCAGGTGGGCAATTCAGCAAGCATGCCAGTGGGACAGAGCAAGAACAGAGGAA